AAGAGGATGACGTGATGGTTAGTGGCGAGAACTAAAAGGCAATAACAACATGTGCCATATATCGAACGTGACGTCTGTATTTCGGGAACCATAATCGCGTTTTCATATGTGATCACCACTTAAGTTTACCTAAACACATATTCATTTTCAAAGAGSGATGCGAAAAGAAAAGTTAGATTAGGAAGATGCGAATGTCATTTGGTGAAACCACATGAATTCTATCTACTCTTGTTCATAGTGTATGACGCTTGTACTCACAAAGACATGCATATATGTACCTGGCAATTGATAAGACAACATTACAACGTTGTGATAAGCCTCTGTATTTGACTGATGCCCCCTTTGTTTCCAGATAAAAAATGTCACTACTMGCATGGAGCCGAAAGAGGACCCAGAATACAGCACGCAAGGCTTCTGCACGATTTGTAGTCCCGCGTCGAGTTGCGAGAGGGGGTATGCAAGAAGAAAATGAACGCAAAAGTAAGCCGGACATGACGGGCACAGTGCAGCGGGTGATCCAGACACGAGCAGCGGATGCAGAGCCTTCGAAAAGGAATGGCAGTGTGGATATGGATTTGACAAAAGAGACCGAAGACTACGAGGACGACCCGTTGGACAGCTTTCAGTACGCCGCCCCGAACAAAAGGAAAAATGAGTGTGTGACAGTAGACAGCTTTGAGCAAAGAAAAAGTGTGATATTAGAAAAAACTTGGTACGCAGATGCATATGCTCTTTACATGCAAGGCAGACAAGGGTGGAGCGACAGAAGGGGAATGCAATCATCTTCAGTTCAGAAACAGAATGTAGCAGATGTGAAGGAAAAGGCGCAAATGGACAACTCGAATGTTCAAAGTAGATACAACGAGGATGTGAACAAAGACGATAATATTGATGACTCAAGAAGTGCAAACAAAAAGGTAGATTTGAAGAGCAATCAAGTCGTAATGGATGGTTTAACTCTTGTACCTTTTCAGATCGAAACTTTTTGGGGTGAACACATTGTTGTCCAGGGATGTCATATCGCTACTTTGAAACCCAGCAGATGGTTGCATGGGACCATTATCRATTTCATGTTGCAATCAACTTTAGACGAAGCATCTGTGGACCAAAACAAAKGTCATGTTTTCGTGTGCACATGGTTCTGGCACGAATTGATACGAGCAAAACAACCGGTGCACAAGATGAAATCGGAATGTGAAGATAGATTGAGGAAAGRAAGACAAAAAGGGCTGATTTTTTCGTTTGCATCCAGGATTTGGGATAGCAGATTGGTGATAGTCCCCATCTGGCATCGCGGACATTGGACTCTGTTRGTAATGATAAACGTAGGGGACTTTGTAAAAGGAGTTCCGAAAGCTGGTAGATACAAACCGACATTGATTCATATGAACTCTCTTTGGAATAAATACAATCCGAGCTRGGATTCACTACGTAGCTGGGTCTTCGATGAATTCTATCTTCGCAATTCAGGAGGACGTGGCAGYAGATCAACCAAAGGTGGAGGATCATGGACCATGTGTAGAGACATGTTTGAAAAAAACATGGTAAAAGTTGACTGTCTGCAGCAACAAAATGAAAACGATTGCGGTGTGTACACATGCATCAACGCAGCACGTCTCATCAAACACTTCAGCGACCGACCACT